ATTTACTTCTTTAAAGACAAAATGGTCTATGGCCATTTCAATATTCTTATTCAACACCATAATGCAGTGGTTCGCAACCTTCCAAATGCTGTGATTCTTTCATACAGTTCCTCATACGTGGTGACCCCCAATCATAAAATTATTTTCATTACTACTTCATAACTTTAATTTTGTTACTGTTATGAATCGGGCGACTCCTGTGAAAGGGTAGTTTGACCCCCCCAAATGGGTCGCGACCCACAGGTTGAGAATTGCTGCCATAGTGCAAATAAAGCAACTCTTCTGGGATTTCCCTTGATCATTTTCCAGCTTTCATATGCATATAAAGCAACTAAAAATACCATGGCTTGAGTTGGGTACCACCTTTGGCCTCAAAGGGACATATTTGCTCTCTTTAACATTTTTAAAAGTTCATGTGTAGCATATTTGTTAAATGCAATATGTCATTTGATATTTTGACTGCTGCTTCCATGAACTTTGATTTTAGATGCAAGTAAAATAAAATCTTTGATCACTTCAATCTTTTCTCGATTTTTCATGATATTTTATATTGGTTCATTTGTGACTACTTTTGTTTTCTTTACATTGAGCAATCCATACTAGAGGATGTAGTATAAATCTACATCAAGAGCTTCAAGTCCTCTTTGCATCCAGCAAGCAAGGTTATGTCTTCTATATATTACAGGTTGTCAATAGGCTTCCTCCTCTCTTGTTGCTGCATTCTTTTTCAAGTAGTACAACTTCTCTGAAAGGATACATCCCTATTGTACACCTTTTCTGATTTTAAACCAGAGTACCCCCTTGTAATCTTTGAACCAATTAATTTTTGTTTGTTTTAATTCACAAAAAATAAATATTTACTTATATGCACTTTATATACGTAAGCCTTTTTTACAGTTTTTTTATTAAATACTTTCAATGGGGGATTTTACATCTCTTATCACAATCCACACAATCATCCATGGTGTCAAACACATTTGTACATATGTTGCCATCATCATTTTGAAAACATTTTCTTTCTACTTGACCCCTTGCTATCAGCCCCTTATCTTCCCCCTCTCTCCCATCCCCTCCCTCCCTCATGAAGTTATAGATTATTATTTTCATATCTTATGTCGTCCTATCTCACCCTTCACCAACTTTTCTGTTGTTCTTTTGATTCTTATGATCAATTTCCCTATCCCCCCCCCACCGCCCCCTGCCTTCCCCTTATCCTCCTGGTATCTCTATTCTCATTGTTGGTCCTGAGGGAGTTATCTATCTTGGATTCCCTCTGTTGTGGGCTCTTATCTGTAGCAGTGTACCTGTTCTGGTCTAGTCTGATTAGTTAGGTAGAATTGAGTTCATGATAGTAGTGGGGGGAGATGGGGGGGGGGAGGGAGGAAGCCTTAAAGAATTAGAGGATAGTTGTATGTTTCATCGGTGCTATACTGTACCCTGACTGTCTTGTCTCTTTCTTGTGACCCCTCTGTAAGGGGATGTCCAATTGTCTACATATGAGCTTTGGGTCTCCACTCTACACACGCAACCCCCATTCACATTGGGTATGATTTTGTTATGGGTCTTAGGCCCTGATACCTGATCCCATTGACACCCCATGATCATACTGGCTGGTGTGCTTCTTCCATGTGGGCTTTGTTGCATTTCAGCTAGATGGCAGTATGTTTATCTTCAATCCTCTAAAAAACCAGACACTATATCTTTTTACAGCCGGGCATCATCAGCTTTCTTCACCACATTTACTTATGCACCCATTTTGTCTTCAGCGATCATGTCAGGAAGGCGAACATCACAGAATGTCGGATTATTAGAACAAAGTGTTCTTGCATTGAGGGATTACTTGAGTTGAGGCCCAATATTCATCTGCTACCTTAATTCTTAACATATAGATATAAGTACAAAGATCTATTTCCCAATCATTTTATATAAATATATATATATACATATGTACATGCCTGTATTTAGACCTCTATACATGTCCTTTGCCTCCTAGTTCTTTTCTCTATTTCCTTTTACTTTCCTCTTGTCCCACTATCATGTTGGGCCTTCATTCAGATTTATTAATTCCTCATTGTTACATTGCCCTTGATTAAACCCCACTGGGCATCCTAAGCCCTTCTCACCATTGGTTTTAGTTTACTTGTTGTTCTCTTGCCCTGGGTTGGTTTACACCCCCCCCTTTCCTTTCTCCCACCTCCCCTTCTCCCGTGTCGCCCCTGGAACCATCGGTCCCATTGTTTACATCTCCAAATTGTTTATCCCACCTATCTTATCTAGATAGACATGGAGAGACATTAATAAGCACAAAACCCAGGCAAAGCCAAAGAAAACAACAAAGGAAGACAACACCAACCAAAAAAACAACAAACCAAAACCAAAATAACAACAAAAAGAAAGCCAACGAAAAAAAGAAAAAGCCTATAAATAGATCCAGGTCTGTTTATTGACCTTTAGGAGTGTTTTCCAGTTGAGTCTGATGGGGTGCCACACTATGTCCCCCAAATCTATTTTTGGTATTCCTCGGGTATTACCGCTTTCCTCCCCTTGGTTATCTGTTGCATACCCTTAGTGTTTCGCCCCAGTGTGATGGGGTCAGATTGGTCACAATTTCTGCACTGTGTCTCCAGTGTCGTCCCCCATGGTGCTATGGTTCAGTGAGGGACATCGTATTTCTTGGTGGGACCTGCCTTATGGTCCTCTCTGTGCATTGTCTGCTCTGAGCAGGAATATCGTCCTCAGGGATGGGTGGGCCAGGATGTGTTCTCCTCCCTCTCCATCCCTCTTCATTTCTCCTGTGTGCTCTATTCAGGCTTGCCCCTCTTCACAAGCTGTAGCTTCAGTGCTGTCCTCTGAGGTGCATTCTGCTTGGTGGCGGGCAGGGTTCCACATAGTTTAGATTGGGGCCCACCCCGCAGACCTCTCTATTGGTTCTCTGGTACATGCTGGTATGTTGTATTCACATCCTGGCACACCGAGTGGAAGCCTGGTCTCTCTCTCCCTCTTCTGTGATTTTTCACAGTTTTGTTGACCTATAATTCACACACCGCACTCTTCAATAGTTTAAACACATTTAAAAGAGATGTGTAATCATCACCACAATAGATTTTATTAATTATAAACACAATGTTTATTTAAATAATAAGATGCT